GCGGCGGGCGGGTCCATAGAGTCGTTCTTCCCGGCGCTCTTTGCCAAGATGTGCCAGGGCAAGGACGCGAGGAGGAGGGGGAGAGTAGGAGGGATGAAGAGGGAAAAGGGAATATGAGGGGGCAGGAGTGAGGAGAGAAGAGGGAGAAGGAGGGGGGAGGAGGGAGGAGGGAGGAGAGGAGAAGGGAGGAGGAAGGAACGAGAAAGAGGGAGGAGGGTCGACGTCACTTGCCTTCTCCCGTCGCCACGGCTGGATTCGCTCCGTCAGTCTAGTCAGAACGCGCCCTTGGAGCGCTCCATTGAGTAACGGTTTGGGTATCTTAGTGTTACCTTGAGGGCGAGAGAAGGAAGGAGGAGGGGGGAGGAGGACTCAGGGGAGCAAATGCAAAACAATGAAGATGGGAACCAGAGGATGAGGGTTTCGAGGGGATGGAGATGTTGATGGTGTGATGATTATGCTGATCATGTTGATTATGACGATGAAGGTAAAGATGATGATGATGACGGTGATGATGTTGATCATGATGATGGTGATGGTGATGATGATGAGGCTGGTGATGCTAATGGTGATGGTGATGGTGATGATGATGAGGGTGGTGATGGTCATGGTCATGGTCATGGTGATGATGATGCAGATGATGATGATGAGGAGGAGGAGGATGATGATGATGACGGTATTGATGATAAAGCTGATGATGAGGAGGATGAGGATGAGGATGGTGATGAGCATGATGATGCCGATGATGGTGATGTTGATGATCACCTTGATGATGCTTGTGCCTACGACGGCGATGATGATGTTGTTGTTGATGATGACGATGATGATGACGATGATGACGACGACGATGACGATGATAATGACGATGATGATGAGGATGCGCATGAGGATGATGAGGATGCTGCTGATGATGAGGATGAGGGTGAGGAAGAGGATTAGATCGAGGACGTGGATGAGTATTAGGGGATTAGGATGAGGATTATGAGGATTAGGATGATAATGATGATGGTGATGATGATGAACATGATGATGATGATGATGATGATGATGATGATGATGATGATGATGATGAGGATGATGATGATGATGATGATGATGATGACGATGCTGATTATGATGATGATGGTGATGAAGATACTGATGGTGCTAATGTTGCTGATGATGATGGAGGAGATGTCCATGCTGAGGATGCTGATTATGCTGATGATGATAAGGATGAGGATGAGGATGAGGATGCTGATGATGAGGAGGGGGACGATGAGGATTGCGATGCTGAGGATGAGGTTGATGTTGAGGATGGTGATACTGGTCATGATGATGATGATGATGATGCTGCTGATGGTTATGATGATGATGCTGATGAAGATGATAAGTATGAGGATTACGATGAGGACGCTGGTGATGAAGAGGTGTATGATGAGGATGATAATGCTGAGGATGACGTTTATGTTGAGGATGGTGATGCTGGTGATGATGATGATGGCTACTATGCTGACGATGGTGCAGATGATGATGCTGGTGGTGCAGCTGATGACGATGCTAATGATGATGACGAGTCTGATGATGATGATGAGGATGATGATGATGCTGATGATGACGATGATGATGATGATACTGATGCTGCCGATGATGTCGATGATGTTGCTGCCGCTGTTACTGGTGGTGGTGGTGGTGCTGATGATGATGAGACGGCTGCTGATGATTACGACGGTGCTGTGTGTGGCGCTTATGATTGTGACGAGGCTGTTGATGATGCTGATTATGCTGCTGGTTCTGACACTGGTGATGATAATGGCGACACTGATGCTGTTGATCATGATCATGTTCACGTTTAGGATGACCATGACGACGACTATGATGATGAGAATGGGGATGCGGATGCGGGTGACGATGAGGCTGTTGCTGATGTTGCTGTTGTTGATGGCGAGGGCGAGGACGCGGAACATGGTGAGGATGCAGATGATGAGTTTAATAATGTTGTTGATGATGATGATGGTGGTGAGGATGATGGTGCTGTTGAGATGATGATGCCGATTACCATCATGCTGCTGATGATGGTGCTGATGATGACGATGGTACTGATGGTGGTGGCGGTGGTGGTGACTGTGATTATGAAGACGCTGGGGACACTGATGATGACGATGGTGATGATGATGGTGGTGATGTTGATGATGATGGTAATGCTAATGTCGATTACGATGACGATGCGGCCGATCATGCTGCTGATGCTGGCGATGCTGATGATGCTGATGACGATGATGACGATGATGACGATGCTGACGATGGCGAGTATGATGCTGATGACGATGTTGATGACGATGCTGATGATGAGGATGAGGATGAGGATGCTGATGATGCTGATGATGCTGATGATGATGCTGATGCTGAGGATGAGGATGCTGATGATGGTTATGATGATATGAGGATGCTGCTGATGATGATGATGATCATGCTGCCGATGAATATGATGTTACTGCTTTTGATGGCCATGGTGATGATGCTGCTGATGATGATGCTGCTGGTGATGCTGATGATGGATATTGTGATTGTGATGGTGCTGGTGTTGGTAGTGGTATTGATGTTGCCAGCAATAAGAACACTAGTGACGACGACGATGTTGTGTTTTTGATGGTTGTGATCATGGTGGCGAGGATGAGGAGGACGGGGAGGGCGTGATGATGAGGATGTTGAGTGGGGGGAAGAGGCGGAGAATGAGGAGGAGTAGGCGACGATACAAGCTGTGGTGCGCGCGGGCAATGTGGTGCGCGGGCGCACTGCAGTGTGCATTGGCGTTGCGGTGAACGCAATTGCTGTGGCTTCGGCAGGCATTGGTGTGTACACGAGCGTTCTGGTGCATGAAGGCAGTTTGGTGGACGGCCACGGTGTGGTGCATGCGGTTCCCTGAGATATCTGCAGGCGCCGTGGTGTACAACAGCGATCTTGTGCATGCGGGCGTTGTGGTGTGCAACGGCGCGGCTTCGCACGCGGGTGCTGGTACACAGAGGCGCTATGGCTCACCCAGGCGATTTGGTACCATTGTGCGCGCAGGTGCTAGGGTGAACGGAGGCACTGGTGTGCACATGCGCTGTGGTACACGCAGGCGTTGTCGTAAGCACACCTGTTGTGGTGGGCGGTTGTGGCGCAGGTATAGCGAGTGCGCCGTCTTGGGTTCACGCTGGCCATCTCTACGCCCCCCCCCCCGCTGACCCCCCCCCTGGGTAACACGCGTTACCCCCTAATGGATACAATAACGATTTCGTGGCGGCATCTTCAGTGACACCCAGAGACCCCACGACCTCTCCATATATTTGCTTGCGCCATCTGCCCAACCTCTGCGTAACACAAAACGGTACCCGCCTCTTACCAGCAACTCGTGGATGAACCAGATCAGCCCGCAGAGCGCCCATCGTTCCTCCTTCTCCCTCTCCTCGATCCTCCCCCCATCCGCTTCCCTCCTCCTCCATTGCCCCACCCTCAGCCTCCCTCCTCAGCCTCCGCCTCCCCTTAGGATAGAGAGTGCGAGGAAGTGATGAGCGGACGCTCCTTTGGAGTCGCCCTCATTCCTCTGTGGGACGCGTGGGGGGGAAGGCATGGTGGGGAGCTAGCTCCCCTGGAGCCCCTTTCCCTCAAACTCAGCCCTCCTCCTCTCCCACCACTAGTCCCCTTCTTCCTCCTCCTCCTCCTCCTCCTCCGCCTCCTCCTCCTGATCCTCCTCCTCCTCCTCCTCCTCCTCCTCCTCCTCCTCCTCCTCCTCCTCCTCTTCCTCCTCCTGCTGTCGGCACGGCGGACGAGATTGTTTCCAGCCTGCGCGAGTCCTCGGAGGCTCTGCGCACTGCCATCACGGCCACGATGAGGGCGCAGATTTCCATGGACAAGGTGGCTTTCGTGGCCTCCTCCAAAAGCATCTCTTCCCGCTTGGAGGGGGAGTTCGGGGCCCTTGTGGGCCCCCACCGCGAAACCACGGCCAACCTTGGGATCGATCACACCGCTGGGACCTCACGTCGCGTTCGTGGCCGGAACGCTAAGGCGAAGGCCCGCATGTCTGCAGCCGCGAGGCGTACCAAGAGGTTGGTGCGTCAGCGGGGAGTTTTAGGTCGTCGCATTGCTAAGGTGTTCATCGCTGGGCCCTTGGCGGGGCTGCAGTACGGCTCCGAGGTCCACGGGATGTCCGACAGTGAGCTTCTTGTAGTTCGTCGCATGGCAGCATCTGCTATGAGACCGTCGTGCGGAGGTCGCAGCCTCACGATTTTAACTCTCTTGGAGAACGATCCGGCTTGGTACGGCTCCGTGGCGCCGATTGTCAGGTACTCGAGAGAGCTGTGGCTATTGCAGACTCACGCGACTCCGTGGGGGCTGACTTGGGCTGAGCTCCGCGAGTCTTGGAGGGCCACTTGGGCAGCTCCTCCTAGATTTTGGCGTACGGTTAAAGGCCCCATGGGAGCTGTGTACATGTCCCTCAAGAGGCTCGCCTGGACCATGACCGATCCTTTCACTTGCGTCGACGAGAACGGTATATGTGTGCCTCTCCTCCTCACTCCCCTTGCCCTTTTTAAAGCGTTTTTTCAAAGGCACGGTTTTGAGGGCCCTCGAAATCGAAGCCGGTTCCAAATACGGTGACGGCGAGCGTTTGTGTTTCGATTTGGTGACCAGTGCCTTAGGCTCCAAACGTTTCTCGCCCAAGCAGAAGGGCGCCATTCGTGCTCTCACTTGTCAGGCTCTGTGGCCCCTCAGTCGTGCTGTTCAGAAGGGCTACTTGGTCCCTGACATATGCCCGCTGTGCGGACAGAGTGGAGACACGGTGCTTCACAGAGTATGGTTCTGTCCCGCTTGCGAGGAGCAGCGTGTAGAAATTGTGGGGAACGACCTTCTTGTTCGGGTGCGGGCCGAATAGGAGAGCTCGTCGACCCCGGGATTCAATTTCTTGTGCGAGTCGGGTCTGTTCATACACCCGGCCAAAGACGTCCTTGGGCCGTTATCCTACGACGCGGCCATGGAAATTATCG